TTATTTTATTTTATTTTTTTTTTTTTCATTTATATATAAATCTTTTCTATTGAATCATATGAAAAGCTAAAAAAAATTTTTTTCTTTTTTCGAAAATATAATTAAAAAGATTAGAAAAAATTCTTTTATGATTTTATACTTGTAGAAAGAATTTTAAAAATTAAATTTATTTTTATTATACTGAAAGAATTTATTTATTTCTTTTTTATGAAATATATTGAAGAAATATGTAAAATTACAAGTTTAAATTAGCAAAAAATCGAATAAAACTATGCAAATAACATTGCTACAAAATAAAAATCAAATTTTCTTTAAAAAAAAAAGAAATAAAAAATGAAAAAAAACGATAATTTAGGTTTATTTAAAAGTTTTTTTTTATTTATATAAATGATAAAAATGAAAAAAAAAGCACATTTGAAGTAAATTAAATTCAAATGAAATATGAACAATATCAATTATTAAATTTCTTTTTTCTTTTCAAATGAATTTTTAAAATTTTAGCAATATTTCATTTTAATATTAATTTAATTTTAACTCAAAAAATTTCTCTCGCATATGTACTTCAATTAATTTATTCATTTACTTTTCTTTTTTTTTTAAAATGTAAACATTTTACATTGAAATTTTTTGATTACAATTAATCGATTCATAATTATAGTAGTAATATAAATTAAAAAAGTAATGAATGAAAAAAAAAATTAAAAAATTAAAAATTAAAAAAAAATTAGAAAAAAGAAACAAATTTTTTTTTCTTAGCAAATAATTTAAGAAAAGGAATAATTAATTAATTTAATTAATTTCAAAAAAGGAAAAAACAGACCAGTGTCACCAAAATTTGCTGGATCATGTACATTAGCCAGAATAAATGAAAATAACTTTGTTAATTGTGTTGTCATGTCCAATCTTGCATTAACTTTGATATTAACAGTAATGATAGTATCATAGGTAATAATAATGATAATAATTGCAATAGCATTTCGATTGTCTTATCATTCTCGAAAATACTAATTCAAATGATTTACATCCATTTAACAATAATACTATTTAAATTAATTTAAAAACAAAAACAAAACAAAACAAATGTAATAATTTTTCAATTCTGATTATCACCAATGTAACAATAATAGTGATAATGATAATAGATAATAGATAACTAAATTCTGAATAACAATATTAATCAGAAATGATTAATTATCAAATGGTTGAATTAGTTTCATTTAGGTATAGATCAGTAGCAGAATATTCGATAGCAATAATAATAGTAATATTATGATTGAATTTTTTTTTCCACTGATTAATAAATATATCATTGATAAGATATCACTGATAAAAACATTAATCGTTTAGAAATCATTGATAATTTTGATTTGAATGAATTAACATTGAATTTAATTCATTGTTCATTTTTGTTAATATCAGAAAATATAGATTCAATCAACAATCTTTTTTGTTTTTTTGTTTTTTGCAGCAATAAATTTTATCGTGAAAAAATGAATGTGATAAGAGAGATAGATGTAGTAGCTAGATTAAGCCTAGACTTAGACTTTGGCTTTAGGCTTTTGGCTTTAGGCTTTAGGCTTAATAGAGCAAGCAAACGGAATCAGAGTACAAATAAGCTATGTTCTGTCCCACTGAACAACCTAAAGCCAAATATGCATTTTGACGCCACCCACTTTTTGACTTTTTCAATTTCAATCTTTATTACTACCAATGGATTTAAACAACAAAGTTTGAATGTTAGCTAATCGTTTACAATTTCTTTTCCTAATAATATTTTAGTGATAACAGTGATAAGTGTTATCAGTGAAAAGAATGAGAGTTTGATTTATCACTGCTTTAACAAACCATTCTTTATTACTATCAATGGATTTAAACAAAAAAGTTTGAATGTTAGCTAATCGTTTACAAGTTCTTTTCCTAATAATATTTTAATGATAACAATGATAAGTGTTATCAGTGAAAAGAATGAGAGTTTGATTTATCACTGCTTTAACAAACCATTCTTTATTACTATCAATGGATTTAAACAAAAAAGTTTGAATGTTAGCTAATCGTTTACAATTTCTTTTGCTAATAATATTTTAATGATAACAATGATAAGTGTTAGCAGTGAAAAGAATGAGAGTTTGATTTATCACTGCTTTAACAAACCATTCTTTATTACTATCAATGGATTTAAACAAAAAAGTTTGAATGTTAGCTAATCGTTTACAATTTCTTTTCCTAATAATATTTTAATGATAACAATGATAAGTGTTATCAGTGAAAAGAATGAGAATTTGATTTATCATAGTTTTAACAAATCACAAATCATTCCATTCTAATTAATTTATTTCATCAAATTTTTATTATAATAATACTTTGATTGAATATTAGAATATTTTATGATAATTTCTTAAATGATAAAATTTTACTACAATTATTAAAGTTAATGTTTCTTAAAAAAAAAAAAAAAAAAACTTAAAATATTTATTTCTCTAAATAAAAGTTTTTGCAAATTATTACGTTTTTTTTGAAATTAAAAAAAATTTTATATAAAAAAGAAGAATGAATGAGTTATGAAAAAGTAAGTCAAATTTACGTCAATAAATAGCAATCACTAAAATGACGTACGCAAAATAATATATTTACACTATAATTCCTTTTATTTTTGCATATAAATATATTAATTTGCGTACGTCAATTCAACGATCGCAGTTTAATGACGTATTTTTGACGTATATAAAAAGGAATAATTTTTCCTCTTTTTTTTGTTTCCTATTATTAATAATTCAATTTCTAAAATGCTTAATTTTTATTCATAAATAATTGAACTTTTAAAAAATTAACAACAAAGTACATCGAGAAAACGTCATGAAAATGACGTAAAGTAATACTAATTTTTTTTTTTGATTTCTTATTATTAATAATTTAAGCTTTAAAATATTAAATTTTTTATTCCTATAAATAATAAAGCTCAAATTTTTTTTTCTTTTTTTTTTACAAATTTTTTTCTCTTTTTTTGAAACTAAATAAAAAAGAATTTTATAAAAGAAATAAAAGAATTTTTTTTTTTTTGTTCAACTTGAATGAGTCAATTTTGAATTAGCCTTATATTCAATCGGATGTGATTTAATTTTAATTCAAAATTCAAAGCAGTAATCACTTAAAATTAGTTTTAGTCCGATTAAATTAAATTTATTCCAAAATTTCATTTCACTTTAAATTCTTTAATGCTTCTCATAAATTTCACAAATTTAGTACTATCAAGAAATATTTTAGTTATAGTTTGTCTTAAAAAAAAGAAGAAAAAGTAAACAAAAATAAAAAATCAAAAAAAAAAAATATTAATAAAAAAAAAGAAAAAAATTTAATTTATTCTTTTCTTCAATAAGATATTTCTTTTTTTTTTTGGTTTCTTTTATTTGAACAAAAAATTTTTAATAACATTTTATAATATTTTATACAAATTTTTATGGTTTCTTTTTTTTTTGAAAATTAATGTTTTTTAATTTAATTATTTTAGTCTAATTTTTTCTATAAAAAAGAAAAGAAAAAACATAAAATAAAATATTTGGCTGAGAAAAAAAAAAAGAAACGGAATGAAATTTAATAAAAGGAAATAATATCGTCCAAAATGACATTTTAGCATTCCTTTAGGTGACATTATGATGACTCATTCATACATATAAATCTATTGTTTATGTTTTTTTTTTTTTGAAAAATATATTTATTTCATGCATAACTAAATTCATTCAAAGTATTTTGTCCAAAAAAAAATAAATTTTATTTTAAATGAAATAGAAAATTTATTAATTTAAGCTTAAAATTATTAGCTAACCATAATTTAAACTACATTTTCATCAATTTCAACTAAGTTTAACTAAGTTAAATTAAGTATATAAATTCTTATTTTATATATTAGATATTATAATTACAATAAATTATCAGTCTTATTAAAATATTAAAACATTTTTGTTTTTTTTTTTAAAGTTGAAATTAAGTTGTATTATTTTAGAAACGCACAAATAATATAATTAATGCAATTGCATTATCAATAAATTGTTAAATTTTAATAAAAAAAATTTCAAATATTCATAATTTTAATCTTATAAAATTTATTCATTTATTTGTTTTCTATTTTTCGTCGTAGAAATAATTTAATTAATTTAAGCTTTTTTACCTCTAGAAAAGGAAAACATTTTTTTAAAAAACGAATAAAATTTGTAAGTTTAATTAATTTAATAAATTACTTTTTTCAACGTATTTTTTTTAATATTTATTTTTTATGTTTTTTATATTTTTATATTTAAAAAAAAAGCGCATTTTTTTAATATTTATTTTAACGTATTTATCTGCTTTTTTTTTCATTGTAGAAATATATAATTAATTTAAGCTTTTTACTTTTAAAAACTTTAAAAAAAACTTTTTTAAAATCTTTTTCCTTTCTAACAAAAAAAAAGTAAACAAAATGTGAAAGTTTAAATTTATTTATTTTTTTATTTTTTATTGTAGAAATATATATCATTAATTTAAGTTTTTTTATCTCCAACAAAAAAAGAGACAGCAAAATATGAAATTTTATTGATAACTTAAAATTATTCTAAATTTTTTATCTCTAAAATATAAAAGTCTTTTTTTTCAATTAAAAAAAAGAGGAGAATAAAATGTGAAATTTTTATCAAATATTTTAATATTTACAAAGTTAACTAATTTAAACTTTTTTATCTTTAAAAGATAAACAAAATCTTTTCATTCTTATAACAACAAAAAACGAAGAAAGTAAAAGTGAAATTTTTATTAAATAAATTTAAAATTGCAAAATTAATTAATTTAAATTTTTATATCTCTGTCTAATAACAAAAAACGAAGGAAGTAAAAGTGAAATTCTTATTAAATAAATTTAAAATGACAAAATTAATTAATTTAAACTTTTTTACCTCCGTTTAACAACAAAAGAAGAAAGAGAATAAAAAGTGAAATTTTTATGAAATAAATTTAAAATGACAAAATGAACATACCAGAAAATAGCTGACGATATTGTGGATGCTCATCTCGCCATGTTCGCCAGTAATGCTTATTTGACTGATAACTTTGTTGTAAACAGCTAATAAACAATAAAGCTAATTTCAACATTTCAAATATTTCACTTGAACTGCTGCAGCTAACCAATTGTAGCAATGATGAATGCATTCCATTTTCATTTCTGATTGTTGTGATCAAATTTTGGCTGATTGCTTTAATTTTAAAATCCGGAAAACTGTGTGTTGGCACGATGTGTGAAACCGGAAATTAAAATAATCGATTTAGAGAGGAATGAAGAGAGAAAAAGAAAGACAGAAAGTGAGAGAGAGAGAGAGAGGGAAAAGTAGTTAATTAAAAATAAACTTTCTTTAAATGCTAAAACATTTTTTAATCTAAAAATTAAAAAAAAAAAAAATTTATTATCATTGATGTAATATAAATGTAATAACAATTTTTTTTTTTTTTAAATTGGTAATTTTTAAAATAAAATGCAAAACAAACAAAAGAAAGCGAACAAAAATTGTTTGTATTAAATATATTTTGAATAAATTTTAATTTTTTTATTGCATTGATTTCTTTTCTTTGTTTTTTCTTTTTTATTTATGAAAAATTAATTAATAAATTTTCAGAAATGAATGTAAGTAAATTTCTATTTTTATTCTCCATAATTTAAAACAAAAAATTAAAACTTAAAATTAATTATTTGATGAATTTAATTGGCTATAATAGTTACAAAACTTAATTAAATATTGGTCATTTTCAATTTTTAAAATAAAAATTTAAAGATATTTTAAGAGTTTGTACACAAATAGTTTTTTTTTTCTAAAAAAACACTACTCGATTAAATTGTTTATTAATTTCAGGCAAATGTTTTATAAATATTAATTATTTTTTATCAAATAAATCAGTTAACCAAAGAAAATTTTTTTTTAAAGCTATAAAAACGATTTTAGTATAATATTTTAATTCATTCCTTTTTTTTAATTAATTAATTCGTTTTTCTTTTTGTTTTTTTGTTTTAAAAATAATATCAAAAATAACATACGAATATTTTGATAATTATTAAAATTTTTAAAATAATTATAAAATTTAAATGATTTAATGGAAAAGTTAAAAATTGTAATAAAAATATTTTAAGAAATATGAAATAAAATTTTTTTTTCCTTCGAATTTAATTTAATTCATTTGATATTTGCATTTAAAATAAAAAAAGAAGAATTTCCTTTTTTTTTTTTTGATTTGAACTAAAATTTTCTCATAATTTTATTATTATTATTATTAGTTACAGTAGTTATATGATATTTCAAATATTTTATATCATTGATTGTTATATGAAACAAAAAAAAAAAAAGTGAAAAAAATGAAAATAAATTTTTAAAAACGATGCCAAAAACAAAATCGTAAAATGCATAGCAACGATTTTAACAACCACATTTTAAGATTTCATTTTTCTTTTCTTTTATTCTTTTTACATTTCAAAATTTATTATAATTGAAAATTTTAAAATAACTGCAAAATTTTATCTTAATCCATTTTTTTTTTCAAAAAATGAAAAAAAAAAAAAAGAAGGAAAAGACATCATATATTGGTGACAGAAAAATAAATTCACCATCATTTAGTTAATGTATTTTAGTAAGAAAAAAAAAAAAATAAAAAGGACAAATTTGAATTTTCATTTTTATTTTTCACTTTTTTCTCTCTTTCTTTCTCTCTCCCTCTCTCTCTCTCTCTCTCTTTCTTTTTAAGTTAAACTAAATGATTTTGTTTTCAATGCTAATATCATCATATGCATTCAACCGTTAAAAAAAAAGGGAAAAGACGGATGTTAATGATAATTTTATATATTTTTTTTTTTGTGAAAAAAAGAGAAAAAAGTTATTTTCGTTTATAATATTTATTTATTATAAAAAATAATTTATTATTAATATATTAATTTATTAAATGATAAATATATTTTATTAAAAATGGAAGAGAAAAAGAAAGAGAGAGAGAGAGGGGGAGGGAGGGGGAGAGAAAAAAAGATGGAAATTTCGGGAATTAATATTTATTTACTTTATTAATCAGTAATAGTTTATTTAATTACTCTTTTTTTTTCTTTTTTACTTATTAAAAGTGTTTTTTTTTAACTTAATTGATTATTTAAGCATATTCAATTTCTAAGAAATAATTTCAACTTAATTTATTATGCAAAAAAAATTTTTGACATATTTTGAATTGACAATTTCCAAATATATTTGTGTATTAATTTAATGAATAATTTAATTCATCAAAAATCAAAGTTTTATTTTATTATTTTTTTTTTTTTGCTTTTCGTACTTTTAAATTTTTATTTTACATACAAAAATGTTATATTGAATGTAAAATGAAAAGAATGAAAGGACAAAATTGAAATGAATGAAAAAATTGAATTAAATTAGAATCATTTGATAAAAATAAATTAATTTTTTAAAAAGAATAAAAAATTCTTCTTTACATTTTAGTAAAAATAAAAAAAAAAAAAAAGGAATGCAAAGTCATATTGGATGGGTAGAAAAGTGTAGTTAGGAATGAATGGAAAATTTACTTATAAGAATTTATTCATCAGGAAATAATCTTAATTATTCTAACTTTAACTTTGCTAATGCAAATGTCATATTACTTTTATTTTGGTTGAATGAAATGAAATGAAATGAAATGAAAACGAAAATGAAATGAAATGAAATGAAATGAAATAAAATGAAATGAAATGAAATGAAATGAAATGAAATAAAATGAAATGAAATGAAATAAAATGAAATGAAATGAAATGAAATAAAATGAAATGAAATGAAATGAAATGAAATAAAATGAAATGAAATGAAATGAAATGAAAACGAAATAAAATGAAATAAAATGAAATGAAATGAAATAAAATGAAATGAAATGAAATGAAAATATATTAAAATTAGTAAATGCTTCGATCAAATTAACAAGTAGTAAGAACATTAGTGCTATGTGCAAATAAATTTATGCAAATTACTCACTGAGAATAAAAATCATTCTGCAAAAATTATCGGATAAATTCAAAAAGTATGTCTTTTTAGTATTATTTTAAGCAATTTATAACAGAAAAAATAAATAAATAAAATAAAAGCATAAAAAATTAATCAAAATTAATTAAACAACGAAAATAAGAAAAAAAAACAATTTTATATATTTTTCTTTTTAAATTTAAAAAGGAAAAAAAAATTTACATTGCAATGAATAATTGAAATATTTTTATAAGAATTATAATTGATGTTATTTGCTTTTTTTTTTTAAATTCTTTTTCGAAATTTCTTTTTTCCCAAAATTTAGGGAATAAAGAAAAAAAAAAGTTTTCGTTTTCTGTTCTATAAAATAATTACTTAATAGAATGCAAACATTAAATTAAATTAAAAAACAACAAAATGATAGTTTATTGATTCTCATTGCTCATTTATCATTTGAAATTCAATTCAATAAATTTATATTTGTTTAAAATTTTTAAAATCATTTAGAATTGAATAACTTATTTAATCATTTTTTTTTTTGAAATATTTAAATAATTGAAAATTGATTTTAGTCTTTTTTTTTGTTTTTATTCATTACAAAATTAATAATTAAATTTTTTTTTATCTATAAATAATGGTACTTTGAGTATTTGAGTAAGTTTTTTTTTTTTTGATATTTTTAATATTTTTGAATTATCCCGGGGGATTTGCAAATGATTTTTCAATTATTTTTCACACTTTTTTTTTTTAAAGTTTCATTTTCTCTTCTTTTTCATTATTTTATTCATTGCTTGATTTGAGAAATAATTCTGTTTTTTTTCCTTTTTTCCATTTAAATCATTTTTAAAAAAAAAAAATAAAATAAAATGAAATATCCATTTAAAAGATAAAATTTCAATTAAAATGATGAAATAACAAAAAAAAAAAATTTAAGGAAAAAGTTAAGAAAATATGGAAAAAAAGTCGATTCATTTGTGAATTTAATATTTACTAACTTTAAATATATTTATTTGTTATTGAATTAAAGTAATAGCTATTTACAGCATAACACACATAACTTATTTATAATATATATTTACACCGACACATACATACACATACACACACAGACACATACGATCACATACACGTAAGAAGCGTAAATTTGATTTATTTTTACGACAGTAGTAAATTTATGAATTCAAGGAAAAGACGAGTGAATTTATTAAATTTATTGATTCAAGAAAAAAATTAGTAATTTTATGAATTCAGGAAAAAAATGAGTGAATTTATTAATTCAAGAAAAAATGTTAAATTTATTAATTCAAGAAAAAAATTAGTAATTTTATGAATTCAGGAAAAAATGAGTGAATTTATTAATTCAAGAAAAAATGTTAAATTTATTAATTCAAGAAAAGAATTAGTAATTTTATGAATTCAGGAAAAAGTGAATGAATTTATTAATTCAAGAAAAAAAAAATTGTTCAAAAATTAATTGAAAAATTTCTTCGGTCTCTTTCATCTTTTAACATTAATATTAACTATAAATTTGAACATTCAATTTCTTATCTTTGTTTATTGCAAACTTTTCGATTTCATTTTTCATTTCTGATTTAATTAATGAATGACGTAATAAATATGTAAATGTTATATGCTATCAGTTGTAAAGTTAATAATTTAAACTGATAATATGACGTATTTGTTATTTACTATCACCTTAACAATATTCAAATACTTTATACCTTATTTTATAATTGTATTATAAAGTAATACTTATAGCATTATAATTGTTATAATTACGATTACTACGATAGTACTAACTTAATTTGCTGATTTTAATTATATCATTAAATTTTACTAATTTTAATTAAACTCTTTCTTTTACAAAAATATTGATGATAAATTCATTTTAAACATTTTACTCTTTTCATTTAAATGTTTGTTGATTTTTTTTTCTTTGTTTAAATAAACGAATGATTAGAATATAACAATCATTTCTTATTTAACAACATAAATCTTATTTGCTAGGCAAAATTACAGCATACAATAAGAGAGGAAAACGAATAGCATTCTGCGAGAAATATTATCTATAAGCAACAATATAGGAAGGTAAATGCTATATTAACTAAAAAGGTAGATAAAGGTAATATTTAAAGGTAGATGAGTTGATAATTATTCCATTTCAATAAGCAATTTTCAATCCTTTTCTCTCTTTATGAGATTACCATTCGATCATTTAATTAACAAGCAGTCATTTCATTTGAATAATTTAACTCTCGATGAAATCACATAAATGACTATAGCAATTTCAATTTCATTAAATGAGTTGTAGCATTTGATCAAGCAGGACAATATCATTTAGGTACCTATGGCAACACCGCCATCATTAATTATTATTACCGCCCGCCATTACATTATAACTAGCACTACTAGTTTTTAATTATCATGATTAACTGAGATTGATATGATCAATTTTATCATTTCTTATCACTAATTTAACTATTATTATCATTAGTTAACCTTTATTCAGCACTTTAAGTCGATTATATCAACAAAAAAACGAAGTTTGTTTATCGTGATTAATTGAATCTGATACGATCAATTTTATCATTTCTTATCACTATTACCATTAACTCATTTCAACACTTTAACTTAAATATATCAACAAAAAACGAAAAGTTGATTTATCTTGATTAACTCAATTCGATGTGATCAATTTTATCATCTGCTATCACTTATCATTGATTATCACTGATTTAATTACTAGTTAAATAATGATAAATTATTTAACTTTCATTTAACACTGTAAGTTAAATATATTAACAAAAAAAAAAGAATAAGAAAAAAAAGAAAGGAATGAAATAACTCAAAAAATAAAACATTTTATAATATAATAATTGATAATATGGAAATGTTTATTGTTTAATCACTTTACAATATTCGTTAGTATTCCAAATTACAAATAACGAGAAAAAAAGCAAAGTAACTCAATAAAGAATTTAAATTTTTCCAAGAAAAAAAAACAAAAAAAAAAAGATAATAAAATAATAAAAATGTGAAATTTGAAATTTTTTTCAACCTATAATTTTAGAAGCAAAGTATAAAAATCACAAATGATTTATTACTTTGATATTATTTCTCTCTAATATTGTCACATGTCACCTTGTCAACAACTTTTTTTTTATAATGTAAAACAAAGAGAAATTTAAGTTTTTTTCTTTTCTTTCTTTCTTTCTCGATGAAGTTAAATTCATCATTGCTTGATGAAAACGGCAACTAAAACGGTATGTAATCCTATTTAAGCTTTAAATATTTCAATTAGATCTTCTGCTCTTCCATTTCATTTCATTCCATTTCATTTCATTCCATTCCATTCCATTCCATTCCATTCCATTCCATTTCATTTCATTCCATTTCATTCCATTTCATTTCATTTCATTCCATTTCATTTCATTTCATTTCATTTCATTTCAATACCACTTAACCAGAGAGAATAGAAATAAAGAAAAAAGAAGAAAAAGGAAAGCGAAAAATTCATTTCAATTTTTCCATCTAATTTCTTTTCATCTTTTCCTATTCGTTCGTTTACAATTTCTAATAATTTTCAATTTTAAACTTTGTTGTGTTTATGCTTCTTCTAGTCATTTACAAACGATACAAATGCAATTGCTCTCAATTTAGCTTTTCAATTTTAATTTTCTTTTTTTTCAAAAAAAAAAAAAATATCGTGAAGTTTTTTTTTACAAAATCACCTGCAAGCACTATTTGATTGAGATTTGTTTCAGAAAATAAAATTTTCGTCTTTTTCTTTCTCCCCTTCCCTCTCTCTCTCTCTCTCTCTCTCTGTCCCTCTTTCAAATTGTTTATAATAATCATTTGATAGAAAGAAATGATTAAATTTTGAATTTATTTTATTGATTTCTTTCAAAATTTTCATTAACATTTTATCATAGCAAAAGTGACATTATTTCTGTCCAATAATTTATAAAAAAAAAGATTTTTAAATTCATATTTCTGCTCAGTTTTTTTTTCATTTTTTGATAATTTCACGAAAAAAATCTTTTTTTCACAGAATAAAATCAATATTAGAAATTGTATTTAATATTTTAAAATTCCGGAAAAATGCTAATATAATCAGGCAGACTCTTTCGTAAATTTCAAGTCTTTCCTTCATTTCCGTATTTTTTCTTTTCAATCTTTTTTTTTTTTAAATTATACATTCTTAGTGTATTTTTCTTCTATATGGAATATATGAGTTAACAGTGATGATAAGATAATGAGAATTTCATTTATCGATAAGACTGAGCGATCAAATCAATCGATGATCAGATGGGAATGATGCTAATCAGATCGATCTAATTGCTAACGAAAAATTTAAATTGATCTGAAAAAGATGAAAAATTTTTGAAATGAAAATGAATTATTTGTGTTGAAAAATTTGATGGAATATTTATTTATTAAAATAATAATATATCTTTCTTTTTTTTAAAAAAAAATTATTGGAAGAAAACTTAATGAAATTTCAAAAAAAAAGTGAAAAAAAATGGAGCAATGAAATTGTTTAAAAATGTTAAAAATGAATCAAACATTATCATCAATTTAATGAGTGTAACAATAAAACAATAAACAATAAATTTTCCATTCAATACAATGTTAATAATTTGAAGGATGGATGAAGTTAGGTTTCCGGACGGATGGATGGACGGAAGGACGGACGGACGGACGGAAGGAAGGAAATATATCAAAAGGAAGCGTTAAGGATGTGCAGGATTTAATGATGGAAGAATTAATGAAATGTACGGAAGGAAAATGGATAGGAGTTGCATGAGTAGATTTTGTTGATGAAAATAATTCAGAAAGGAGAAAGAGAGAGAGAGAGGGAGGGAGAGGGAGAGAGAGAGGGAGAGAGAGAGGGACGGAATAGATAGATTGGTTGGTTGGAAAAATGATGAATCCCTCCTCCTCTTTCATTTCACCATCTATTAGATAGATGAAATCAAATTTAATTTAGTTTTAGATTTAAAGCTGCTACTTCTATGTTTTACTTTTACTTTGCCTCAAAACGGAATGGCTTAAATGAGCCAAAACAAGAGTAAAGTTAATCGGACAGAAAAATTGCTGCAGGCAATATTTGCTTTTATTTCTGTCAGTAACAATAAAATTATTTTAAAATGAAATAAATAAAACAAAAAAAAAAATACAAATATATGTTAGCTTACTATTTAAAATATATAATAGCTTATTATTTAAAATATATATTAGCTCTATCATTTTAATATATTATTTATAAAAATACAAATATATATATTAACTTACTATTTATATTAACTTACTATTTCAATATATTATTTGATAAATTTTTATTATATACAATGATTTTTCTAACTTTAATTAAATTCACTTATATATCAGTTTGCTGTCAAATATAATTGCAAATAGTATTGAAATTTAAAGCTTGCATACTTATCAAAGTTCTTCGTTGCTAATTTAATTAATCTGTGCAAAGTGTTTCGTTTGATTACTATCATAGGATAGCTAGCTATTACATCAGACTTAAATTTAATTTAATGAAACTTCCGGAATAATACCTAACTTCCGGAATACTAAAATTATTTGAAGCATTTTTTGCAATAAATAAACTTCACGTATGAATTAATTATTATCACCATATTATTTGGAAATTACTGGAAATACCTTGAGTAATTAATTAATTAATTAGCTGTATGATCTCTCTTCATTTCTTTTTACTTTTGCAAAGTTATATTCAAATTTTATATTACTGAAAATGTTTATTGTGAGGAAGAATAAATGAAACAAAAATTTAAAAAGAGTACTTTCTTATATACAAACAATGAGAATAATTTGTTTTTTCTATTAAAATTTTCGAAATTTATTTTCTTCATTTTTTTTTTCTTAGTACTTAGAAGAATGAAATAAATAAAAATTGATAAAAAAAATTTTTCACATCATTCAAACTGTATTAAAATTTAAAATGAGCAAAAATTTCAAATAATTTAACTAATAGTTTAGAAATGCACAAATTATTGAAAAGCGCAGAAAGAAATAACTGAAATTTAAATAAGCAAAAAAAAAAAACATAAATATATATACAACGTTTAAGAAGTATATTTATTAAGGAGAAGGAATAATTATCAGTGAATATATGAAATGATAAGTATTGATAAGAAATGAAAAACAGTACACAAAGAGTGGGATAAAACTGATAATCACCGAGATAAGTAGGAATTAAAAAACAAAAAAGAGGAAAAGGAAAAACTTCAAAAAAACTTTCATAATATAATAATTTTTGATTCAATAAAACCAGAATTTGAATATTTTCAAAGTATATCAATGATATCATAGTGATAAGTTCAAATGATAAGTTTAAAATTAAAAATTTAATCAAAATTTTAACTTTGATTCTATTGTTTACGAGAAAATCTAAATGAATCGATCAATAAATGCTAACTTTATGAATATTAAAGCGATAGGAAAGTATAGAATTAAATACAAAATATTTTAAAAGAGATGAAAAAAAAAAGACTTTTCTGTGAAAGTATTTGTTGAATGCTTGCAAAAAAAAAAAAATCAAAATTGCTAATTTGCATTTAAAATTAGCCAAAAAAAGACAGTTATTAGCATAAAGGCAAAAAAATATATAAAATTTATATACTAACTAAATATACTAAATATAAATTTATAGTTAGATAACTAATCTTATCAAATTCTTTTTTTAATTGATAAATTTGCCAGAATTTCATTATCATTTCAATAATTTTAATACTTTCAATAAACTTTTCCTTTATTAAAAAACCTTCAAAATTAAATTTCTAATTAAATTATATGTAAATTATGAATTTATTATAATATATCCTTAGACAAAATAAATTTTTTTCATATATGCGACAATACCGCATAGAAAATTTACACACACATACAAAAAAAAAAAAAAAGAAAGAATTATTCTATGAAACAGTAATTGGTAATGTTTGTTCAACAATTGCTTCATCATCATTTTTTTCAGTAATTTTTTCAATTACTGAATTACTCGTTCGCCATTCTTTCACATCTATATTATCATTTTTTGAATCATGAATTCTTGGTAATTGTGATAAATCAAACATTTGAAAATTAGCACTTCGTTTTGATAAGCTTGGATAAAGTGATAGATAATTTCGTGGTACCAATCCTCGTTTTGATATTTCACTTCCATTATCACAAATTTCGGTTGTTGTAATTTCACAAAACCACCATGCATGATCATTGGTATCTTTTTCTAGGACACGTAAACATGAACCAATTGAAAAACTTAATTCATCATCTTGCATTTTATCATAATCATATGCTGCATACATCTGAAAAACAAAAAAAAAAATTTATTTATTTTATTAATTAGTCAAATTTTTAACAAAATTAAAATTTAAATAAATAAAAATATAAAAGAAAACAAACAGACAAACAAACAAACAAACAAATCAATAATTTATTTTAAAAAAAAAGATAAAGATAAAATAGTTCAAAAGTTTTGTTTTAGCTAAAAAAAAATTTCCATGAAAAAAGCATAACAAATATATTACAAATAAAATGATAAATTTAAAAAAAAAAATCAAAATTTTTTTAAAAAAAAAAAAAAAAGGAGAAAATGAAAAATTACAAATCCATTATTGATAATTCCAGCTTCTTGATTAGCTGCTTTCAGATAGAGTTGACAACCTTCATAGCCATCTTCATCCTCTTCACATTTTTCAGCTGGTGTTTCTAAATCTGATAATGTTTGCGCAAAAATGCAAGCGCCATTTTCAACTAATAATTTTACCATTGGTAAATTATTGCATGATGCAGCACAATGTAGCGGTGTCCAACCATCTGAATCCTAAATATATTTTTTTTTTTTTTTGAATTTCATAGTGTAACAAAATAGAAAATAATATTTTTAATTTTGAAATGCAATAAAATAAAAGAATTATGTAAATGTAAAAATAATAAAAATTAAAAAAAAATTGTTTACTAAGAATTTTAAAATTAATTTATAATGTAAAAAGTTTAAATTCTAATAATTAAAAGTTGAAGGAAAAAGAAAAAAAAAACGTACAAAGAGAAAAAATCAAAAAATTAAGATAAAATTATGATAATATTTTATTGTAAATTTAAAAAATTTTTTAATTAATATTAATTTTATAGAAAAAATTTAACATTTTACTAAATTATAAATTCAATTGAAATATTAAATTCACATACTTGCGCATTTACATCAGCAAATGAATCCACCAAATAACGTACAATCTCATAATGACCAGCGCAAATTGCATTATGAAGCGCAGTGATACCTTCGTCATTACACGCTGATATATTTGATAGCTAAAGAAGGAAAGAAATATGAATTTGTAAATATATTTTTGTTCCTTAAATTAAATAAATATTTAATTTAAGTAAACTAATCGATAATTCAACCTATAATTAATGAATAATTTTATAAGTAAAACAAAAGATACAAAAATTATAATATATATATATCGAAATTATTATAATTATTTCTGGCAAAAGATGAAATTTTTAGAATATAGTAAATGAATATTTTGAAAAATTCTCATTTTATGCTAAAATAAAAATTTCTTTTTAATTTAAAATTATGATTGAAAATCAAAAAATTTTTTAAAAAAAAACAAAACAACCTTAGCAGCACTTGATTTTACCAAATCCATTTCACCTTCCAGTGCTGCATCCAATAATAATGCTAACGGATCAAAAACTACTTTTCTTGCTGCTTTTTTCACTTTATTATGACATAGAATACCCTAAAAGAAATATTTGTGCTATTAAATTTCATCTTTTTTAAAATTTAATTTAACAATTTTAAAAAAAAAATAAAATTTCAAATATAGAAAGGAAGAAAAAATCTACTAGGAAGATAAATAATTGGTATTGCATAACATATATGAACTATTTTAATTAATATAATGATACAATTACTTGGTCTAAGGCTAATTAATCAATTCCAAATATTTGTAAAATACTGATCTTATGATCATATTGAGAGAGAGAGAAAGGGACAGAGAGAGAGAGAGAGAGAGAGATGGATAAATGAATGAAATATGATGTGAATGATAAGAAATGAAAGATAATTAAAATACCTTTTCAGGTGATGTCTTAATAAGATTTGTGATATTTGATGTTTCCTTTTGCATTTCTATTTCATCCGTAAATTCCTTCTCAGTTAATACTTTCATTTGCTTACATTCTTCCATTTGCTCAATTTCAACCGGTAATTCATCAAGTTGAATATCCTTCATAAGAAGTTCACATACATATTCCGGAGCTGTTGTCGTAGTGTCATCATCTGTTGTTTCCTTTTCCTCTTCATGAATTATTTCCGGTTTGCATATTGTAGTAGCATTCTCAAATGCGGAAATGATTGAATTTATTTATCAAAAAATTCTCTCATTCACAAATTTTGAATGTAAATTCTAAATAATAATATATTTAAATCATATTATCTCATAATGTATGTGTTAAATTAATGAGTAATTAAATTGATCATTAATTAGTAATACGTTTGATTAATCTAATTAACATATTTCATAAAATTTTAGAATGTATCAGTTTGAATTAAACAGATCGATATGATTTGCTTATTTTAATAGCATAAAAAATAGTAATAATAATGACAATAATAATAATTATTAGAATATTTAAGATTGAATCAAAAATAATAAGTGATTAGTTAAAATTTTATTTAAAAAACAAAAAAATTTCCTATTTAATATTTAATTAAACTTAATATCAAATTTAATAATTATAACATATACCTTATTTATAACAGTAAAAAGATTGCCAATATTACATCCAACTAATAAATGAGTACGACCTTTCTTCTGCTCATCAAGTAAAATTTTTCGAATATATTCGGTTTCATTGCATGATGTATTCTCTTGAATAGCCCATGATCTTTAAAAAAAAAAAGAGAAATGTTTAAATAATTTTCAAATGAATTTATTAAATCGTTCATTGTATGTTAAAGAAAAATGATAGCTTCTTTAAATGATAATGCTAGAGTATATATTAGAGAAAAATACTTAAACAGTAAAAAAATAAATAAATAAAACAAAGTAAAGTAAGATTAAAGGAAAAAGCTTTGAAATGTTTAAAGAATTTTAAAATGAATTTATTACATCCCTCATTGTATTAAAGATAAAAAAAAAATGTTTGTTTAAATGATAATGCTAAAGTAAATATTATAAATTTAGAAAAAAAAAATTTTTTTTTTTCTAAAAATTAAATAATTGCTAACCTTCTCTTTGCAGCTCGTAATGTATCAGGTCGTATAGAAATTTGATCAGCTCTTGTTAGCTTTGTATTATCAACCAAATTTAATGCTAATTGTTCATCTTGCACTATTGCAGTACTATTACTACTACTATTAGTTGTATTATTATTTTGTTGTTGTTGTTTTTCCATTACTTCAATTGCTGACGATGATAATTTTTTATTTAAGCAATGATCCAATGTATCAAATGTTCTTCTTTCGTCCAATTTTGTTATTTTATTATCAAATGTATTCTCAACTGTTGGATATGGATCTTTTGGCGGTGATGGTGAACTGTTACGATCGATGAATGTGAAGTTAGCTCTAAATAATTTTTAATTTATAAGTTAAGTTATAATTTTAAAAATTAATCTAAATTTTTTGGAAATTTTAATTTTAAAATAAAAATTATTTCAATAAAAAGAACAGAAAAATACGATTTGATGAATATAAATATAAACTAAAACGGAGAAATATTTATTGCTTCAAAAATGATTTTATAAAATGAAATATTTATAAAAAAGTTAAAAAATTTTCTCAAAAATTTTAAATCTTTTCCAACTGAACTATAAATCAATTTAAATTTAGCATTTCAATAGCCGAAAAACTGATTACAATAGATTACCATGGCTTAATACTGTAATATACAGTATGACAATCAAACTATACAGTAAATGATATACAGTAGGATACCGTACCTATCTTTTCCAAATGTAGAAACATTAAATGGCTTATTTAGTAGTTGAGGAGGACAGCTTGAAGATAATTCACTTCTAGCATCTATGAAAGGCTTTGACCGATTAACCTGAAAATAGCTGCTAATTTTATTTCGTGAATTAATTATTGAATTATTAATTTTTTGCCTTAAATTATAATTAATATGCTTAATTATTGAATTAATTAATCCTGATTTATTATTAATTTATCTTAAATTATGGCAATATTTAGACATTTCATTATCCAATCATAAATTGCTAACTAAGATAGGAAATTAAAAGTCAATTAGTAAATTGGATTTAATTCATGTTATTATTTAAGAATTTAAAATTTATTATTAAACTGTAAATTATTTCAATCGAATATCATAAGTAGGAATATGAAGAAGCAAAAATAATGTTGACAAAGAATCTCTGAATAAAAGGATAATACAGAAGACTTAATAATTTACAGTAATGATTAATAGATTTCTGATGGTACATATCTAAATTTGTAATTAAAATTAATTTTATGGTTAACAAAAAAAAAAAACCTGAAATTACCTGAAATGGTTCAACGGATGCTCGTGGACGATAAGGTAAATCAAAAGAAGAATTTCTTGACCTTCCGGAATCTGATATTAATGGTATTTGTCGTAACATTTCATTATCACTGTTATGATTACTATGTGATACTGATTGTTCAGTAGTAATCAGTGTTGATGATTTTGATCCATCGATATCATTTCGTGAAATGATATTATCAGTTGATGTTGTAGCTAATGTTGGCATTACGGATAATTTTTGCATAGAATCAGTCTAAAAATAAAACAAAAAAAATTGATTATGAAGCAAAATAATTGCAAATAGCAAATTAAATAAAAATTAATTGTAAAAGTTAAAAGTTACAATTTATAATTTAAAATTTGAAAAAAAAGTTTGAATATTTTTGCTTTATCATAGTATATACATCTATTAACTTTTATTTATTTATATTAATATCATTAATTGAAATAAATAAATATAATAAATTGAGAAAGGGAAAAAAATTTTTGTGAAATTTAATGAATCGATAAATTGAACCAAGAATAATTCCAGTTCGTTTCTATTATTACACTATAAAATTAATTTTTGATAAGATTCAAAATCTTTGATTAAAAAAAAAAATTGAAAAAAACTGAATTAAACTAACATATTTAGGCCTAATTGGTGAATTCATTAATTTTTGTTGTTGTTCTCGAGCAGCATTTAATGCTATTAATCGACGACGACGTAATTTATCTAACTTAAATTAAGAAAAAAAAAAGTTTTCAGTTTAAATAAGCTATTAATGATTATAAACAAACATAACTCAATTCAATTTAATTTAATTATAATCTTTTTTTTCAAATTTTGTTATTTTATTTATATTTTAAATGTAAATTTTTTCATGTTTATTTAAATTTTTGGAAAAAATTATATTCATTTTTACAGTTAAGAAATGATTTTATATTTTGAGAAAAATAATTTTTAAACAAAAAAGGAAAACAATTAGAATTAATTTACAATTAAATTATACAATTAATTTTTAATTTAAAAAAAAAAAAAGAAGAAAGTAATAAAATAATCATACTTGCGTCTGTAAGGAAGTAATTTTTGAAATGACATTTCTTAAATGTTGCTCTTGTGATGTATAATTAATTTTCAAATCATTTAATTGTCTTTCAGCTATCATTCGACGATTTATTGTTTGCTGTGTTTCACGTTCTATCATTTTTAAACGTGTCATTTCACGTTCTTCAAATAGTATCTGTAAAATAGAATGAAAAAAGGATGAAATAAAGTGAGAGAAAAAAAAATAAATCTTTCATAATTTAATTAAAGTGGAATAGAGAGAATCTCAATTTATCAAAAACTAATTCAAAAGTTTCATCAAATTAAGGTCATTTTTGATTAACAAATGAAAATTTTTTTTATTTTTAACAAATTAACATTAATAACAAAATTTTAAAATGCCATTTCTAATTAAAAAATATTCTATGATTGTTTTTTTTTAGTATTTTATTTTATAATCAAAGTTAAGAAATTTAAATTGTGATATTATTAATAATCTATTTCTTAATTATCATGATAGTCTAATCTTTATTAACTTTAATAAATATTTATTAATTAAAAGTAATCATTAAAATAACTTATCATGTTATCACTTACTTTAATAATTATTAAGAAAAAAAAAAGAACAATGATAATGAAAACCTCATTCCTGAGTACAGCTAAACGTATGGGCGCATTGTCGATATGATTTCCACGTGTTTCACGTTCATGAATCATTTGTCGATTGGCGTCAATCAGACGTCGTTGTTGTTCAGCAATTTGCACCAAGTCATCATATCTGGCGGAGTTAGAACTGAATGAAATTTGACTCATAATTTTTAAATTTTAATTTATAACTTTTAAATTAAAAATATTTCAGTAAAGTTATCAATTCGGTCTATTTATCGAAATTAATTTCTACCGGTTTCACTTTTCCTGATATAATTTTCCTGTTCAGATAATACCTACAATTATTCCGGTATTCTTATAATGAATATCATATACATCATATCATATCATATCAGATTTATATAGTACTTTAGAAATATATAAAAGTAGTATTTATGTCTAAAATATATATTACTATTTGTTTCTTCTTTACTTTTTTTTATTATTTATTATTCTTTCATATTATATATTCTTTTTGCTAGAAATATATTTTTTATATATTATTTTTTTTAAAATATATTATCGGAATATATTATTTTTCTAAAAACTTAACAATTAATTATGACATTTTAAAAATTAAAAATTCATTAAGAATAAATTTGTTAATTTTAAAAACTTTAAAAAGTTAATAAAAATTCACTTTTTTCGAAAAATGATGAAATATTATGAAAAAATTAATTTTTAATTTATTTATTAAAATTTTCTCATAACTTTTTAATTAATTTCAAAGATTCACCTCTGATAGTTTCTTGAACTTCTTGAATGCACAGAAGATGGTTGTATCGGTGGTTGAACAACACGAATTGGTTGATGTGACATCTGAGAATGAATTAAAATTAATTTCAGTAAAACAAAAAGAAAATTTTTTTGTTTTAAACACAAAAAAAAAAAAAGAAATTCATTGCGAAAAATCATTCTAAATGAATAAATTTTAAAGTATTTTTTATAAATTATGTAAAATAAATTTATTCAAATTTTAAAGTAATTCGTTAGAATTTAATTTAACTTATATTTGTCAACTCAATAAAAAAGTTTAAATAAATAAACGAATATTGATGAATTTATTATTAATTTAGATATATTTAATTATTTTTTTGGAAAATTTCTGACATTATAATTAGTAAATAATCACAAAAAAAAAAAAATTCCAAAAATGAAAATATTAAAATTGTAAAATGTGTCATCTTTAACTGAATGAATGTTTTTGAAAATTGTGAAATTAATTAATTCAATCACAAAATGTTCGTTCCATTTATGGATAAAAAAATTTTCCAGTATTTTAAAGAGAATCACAATCATCTCTGACAGTAAAAAATAAAAACTTTTTTTAATATAATAAGTTATTTAAATACACTACCAAGTTATGAATAAATTATTTTAAAAATATTATCAATTGATGAATAAATTATTTAAATACATTATCAAGTTATGAATAAATTATTTTAAAAATATTATGAATTGATGAATAAGTTATTTAAATACATTATCAAGTTATGAATAAATTATTTTAAAAATCTTATCAACTGATGAATAAGTTATTTAAATACATTACCAAGTTATGAATAAATTATTTTAAAAATATTATGAATTGATGAATAAGTTATTTAAATACATTATCAAGTTATGAATAAATTATTTTAAAAATATTATCAATTGATGAATAAATTATTTAAATACATTATCAAGTTATGAATAAATTATTTTAAAAATGTTATCAATAGATGAATAAATTATTTAAATACATTATCAAGTTATGAATAAATTATTTTAAAAATATTATCAATTGATGAATGAGTTATTTAAATATAATAAGTTATTTAAATACATTATCAAGTTATGAATAAATTATTTTAAAATATTATCAATTGATGAATAAATTATTTAAATACATTATCAAGTTATGAATAAATTATTTTAAAAATATTATCAATTGATGAATAAATTATTTAAATACATTATCAATTAATGAATAAATCAAAAATATTATTAATTGATAAATAATTTATTTAAAAAACATCAACAATTGAGAGAAAAATTATTTAAAAACAGTGAACAACAATTGATGGCAAAATTGTCCAAAAGATATGTCATCAATTGGTATAACAAAGTACGCAAAAATCCCATCAATTGATGGGACAAATTGCCCACAAGTATCATCAAATGGTCAAGAGTCTCGAGAAAAAAAAAAGTGTTAGAAATGAAGGAAAAAAAGAAGAATGTAGAAGACATCAACGATGAATTCATTCATACAAATATATTATTTGCATAATTTAAAGGTGACACGATGGACAGTTGACAGTGATGAAGAGAGGACGAAATAAATGATAATAAATCAATTGAGAAAAAGAAAGAAAGAAGGGAAAGAATTTGAATTAAAGTATAAATTTTTTTTTTTTTAGAAAAAGAAAAAAAGATTTATTGAAAATAATTTCTTCTCTAAAATAAGAAATAAAAATTTCAAAATTTTGACAATTTCATTTTAAAAAATTGTAAAAATGATATCATGTTGAAAATGATTGTTGAAAATTTGAAAATTTTGTGAATTTGCAATTGAATAATTTCAAAATTTAAATCGAAAAAATTTGAATTGCAATTTAATAATTTCAAATTTGTATTAAAATTTGTAGAAAAATTTTTTTAAAAAAAAAAAAAGAAAAGGAAATTATAAAATAGAATAAAATTGGATGGAATTTTAGAAATTTGAGTAAGGCTTTTTTTTTTTTTGATTGTTATTTAATTTTTAATAAAGCTTTGGAGAAGTAAGAACATTTCAAAATTGTTATAATTTTAATTAATGATGTATAGTTAGTCTAATAATGAAGCAGGTGAAAAGGTATGATCGAATAGGGTAGGGTAGGGTAGAGTAGGGTAAGGGTAAGGTAGAACTGGATAGGTCGGGATAAAGCAGGGAAAACAGGGAAGGGAAAAGGGTAATTTGTAATTTGATATAATTGATGAGTAATAATTATAACAATTTTTGCACAATAATCTTTGAACATTATCCATTATTACAAATGAAAAAAAGCTTTAATAATATCATTTGATAAATATACCTATTCTGTGGGAAAGGTAGCAAATAAAAAAGTTACCCGCGGGTTTCTGTTATGAATCAAATAAGAATAATTATTAAATACTATGATAAAATGATAAAATTAAGATAATAAATGTTATGAAAAGAGATAAATTAAAAGCTTAAATTAAGCTTATTAATACTATGCAATGATTATAATAGCTTTGATCAATTATTAATTGAAATATTTATATAAAAGAAGAAAATAATATGAAATGAATAAAAGAAATTAAATTAATAATTGTGTAAAATTTTAATTAAATTTAAATTAAAAGACAAAAAGTTGAATGAAAAATTAAGAAAAAAAGAGGAATAAAACTAATTAATAATATAAAGAATAGTGAAAAGAATTATTATTGTTATTTATACGGAAATGAAAAGAAGAAGAATTTAAAAAGATAATAAAGAAAATAGCAAAGAAATGATAAATTAACATTTTCACAAAAATAAGATAAAGGTGAAACGAATGAATGATCAATAAAGAAAGAGAGAGAGAGGGACAGAGAGAGAGAGGGAGAGAGAGATTCTCTTTTTGAAATCATTTTTGTTAAGGCAAAAATTGTACCTCAATTTTTGCCCTTTTTTTTCAAAATGATTAAATATAAATATTTAAAATATTTGCAATTGTAATAAAAGATAATCGATGTAGAAATTTGTAAAAGAATAAATGTGAAAATGATAGAAAAAGAAAAGAAAAATAATATAAGACAACAAAAATAGAAAAAGAGAGTAAAAAGAAGAATTAAATTAGAAATGAAAGATGCAAAAATAAAGGTCAAAGCAGGGAGGTTAAAATGGATCAAATAGAATGGCAAAGAAAGAAGATAAAAATGAGGTGACAATAAAGAGAGAAGGAGAGGACAGATGATGACAATTTTACTGTCGCCAACCAGCATCTAAACGATTAATTATTACAGGTGAAGAAACCTGTAGAGGAAAGAACGTACATTTGATCAACTGTACGTGCTTACCTACCCACCTGCCTACCTATCTACCTACCTACCTGCCCTCTTAATGATACATCATCTTTTGATTTCCCTTACCTAAACTAACAATTTCTACTGGTCATTTGCTGACCACACTTTATTGATTCGAATCGATGTGTCACCTTCAATTCCAATACTTGTCTTTTTCATAATTGACATCGAAAGAGACAAAGAGAGAGAGAGAGAGAGAGAAAGAAAGAGGGAGGGAGAGAAAAGGAAACAAGAAATGTTCACAACCAAGATATCCACTAATGATTCATTTTATTTTTTTATTTTATTTTCAACTACCGATATTAAATTAAGTATATTCAAAATTATTTCAAAAAGAAAAATCAGAAAATTTTGTAATCTATTAATCATTTTTTTATTGTATAAATTAAATTCTTAAATAGCTTAAAATAATAACTGAGAAAATATATTTAAGATAATACTGAAAGAAGATAAAAACAATTACAAAAAGACAAAACAATAAAAACAACAACTAACACAATAAAAGAACAATGACAATAGGAATAGCAACAACAACAACAACAACGACAACAACAATAACGACAACACAATAAACAACAATAACAATAACTAATACAACTTCAAGCTTAATGCAATATTGTAGAAATGATATCGAAGAAATCATTGAGAAGTTGATAATGTTATGATTAGTTTTTGATTAATTAATAAAACACATATTTTATTTAATTGAAAAATTTGAGAATTTTCGTTCTATTTTTTAATTTAATAATTTTTATTTTTCATTTGATAACTTTTTTCTTTTTGTTAAATAATTCTATTTGTTCACTAAATATTTCTTTCAAAAAAAAAAGGCATAGAAAAATAAACTTTTATTGTTTTAAATTTTAAACGAATGATAAATTTACGACAAATTTAATATTAAATTTATCGATGATTTATCCAAAATGAAATATATCTAAAAAAAATATTTAAATAAAAAGAAAAAAGAAAAGGAAAGTATTAATAAAAATTTCTAAATCATTCAATATTACTAATATGCTACCATTAAATAAATTTTAACTAACTTTTGAACTATGTTAATTTTACTAAAAATTATTCAAGCAGAAATTTATGATTTTATCTCTCTCTCTCTCTCTCAATCATACATTTATGGAAATAAAATGAGGAATGAAATTTTGTGACATAAATTTAAAACTTTTAAAATTATCGTTTCAAATTTTTTAATCAATGATATCATCAAATTTCATTTTTTTTTTCCATGCTAATACTTATAATAAATTTGATTTTAATGGACAAAGAAGAAAAAAAAAACTTTTTCCCATTTTTCTTCTTTTTTTTTTTGTTGTTATGAATGAGAAAGAGAAATTCATTTTCGTCTTTCTTCGCTTTTTTTTTATTTTTATTTTTTTTTTTTTCATTTTTTAAAAATTGTTTAAATTACTGAAATTTATTAATATTATACTATTAATAAGCAACAATCTTTTAATTTTGCACTTTAATTAAGTTAAAATTTTTGTAAAAATTTAGGATTTTTTTTTTTAAAACTTTACAATTAGATTTAGTTCAATTCTCTGTTAAATAAAAGATATTTATCAGTTTCTAACATTCAAAATGAAAGATTGTTATCAGTTATCTTTAATTATCACATTTTCGTCATCATTCAATAATAATATTCGAAGAAAGATGAAACGATGCTATGATGATATGAGCAAAATGTCGGCAAAACATTTAGACAAAGCGAATTTATTTCAAATATATATTATTTTGTTTACAAACAATTTATAACAAAAAGTTGTAATACTACGAAAATAATTATTAAAATTTTAAGAGAGAGAGAGAGAGAGAGAAAGAGGGAGAGGGAGAGAGAGAAAAAAAAGTTATTGAAATTGTTAATTTGAACAAATTAATAAAATTAGGAACGAATTATCACTTAAAATATAAAAAATTTTGTTGTTTACAAATATAAAAAAAAAATCAAATATATATATAAAAATAAGTTATTAATAATTATAATTAATTTCATGGCAAATGGTTATATATATGCAAATAGTTATTAAAGAAAGAAAAACATTAGCAAATATTCTTGTAGCATTTTAATTAAATATTTTCAAATCTAAATTATATTTTTTTTTGATAATTTTGAAAATAAAAATTTTATTGTAGTAACTGAAGAATAAAAAGGAAAAAATGGACGTATTGATAAAATTTATTGAAATTTTTGATTTGATTTTTAAAATTATTTAAGAGATAATATTTTTGAAACTTTTGAAAAG